GTGTGTGTGTGTGTGTGTGTGTGTGTGTGTGTGCGCACCACAGACTTCCTTACAAACATGCACAGCAGGGATATGTATTTTTGCATCCCTGCATTGCAGCGACGGAGAATTTGTGACCCTGTACGGCTTCACTCTGAGATAAAAGACAGTCATATCAAATGGCTCTGAAACACGTTTGAAGAGATTTTAGAGGGGGGAAAAAAGAGGGATTGTGTCCATGCCATTGATGATTCAGTGTCTCTGTAACTAAAAAATAAATTCCCCTCACAGCCAGTGATTAGTTGGGGAACAGTTGGTGAGCAAGGCGCACACAAGCGATGCATATGGCTGTGATGAAGCCACATGAGGCTCTGTTAGTGGCTCATCCCAGTATTTTTTATTTCTATTTTTTTCTTCTTCTTCCAGCAGAGTCAGAGGGGAATTCTGACATGAGAAGGGATCAAACGGCACATAAAAGCTACATCAATAGTACAGGGATACAAAATGATAAACAGAGCAGCCTCCTCTGCTGTAAATTCACAGCATGTATCAGTCTTTATGAAGGCACAGGTTAATGCACGGGCAAATGAATCCTATTGATGTGTGATTTGACACGCTACTCGGAGGTGAGATGGAGAGATTGATCTGAAAGAGAAAGGCAGCATGAGGGGAAGTGGGTAAACACTCAGGTTTAGACAGAAAAATACTCCTTTTTCTTTCTTTCAACCAGCCTCTCCCGGGTGAGATTACTGTTCCCATGGCAACGCAGCTGATTGCATGAAAATTGCTGTGGTTGTGGGCGCCATGGCAACACGTTACATTACATTATACTGGTGTTAAGAGCCCCCCTGCGTGCGTCCCTATGTTGCGGTTTTGCGTATACTTACACATGTCAACCCGTCATGATGACATATCGTCACATGGGCTGCAGTGGCGTCAGGGCGGCAGCAAGTTGGACCTCCAGAGCCTCCACCCACACCGCCTTGATCTTTTTGGTTCCCTATTCACACTGAGATTATGTTTAGGAGGCTTATCCAATGTTACACACGCATTACAGCACTTTTAGCATGCTAGCCAGCCAGTATGCAGCAATAGGCATTTCATGGAGGCTTGAGTCATAATATTGACTTTCTCAAAGCATTTAGCCTACTTAGGTGTGTGTGTGTGTGTGTGTGTGTGTGTGTGTGTGAGGTGGGATATAAATATAGTGGAAGACATTAGAGATAGAAGTACTGAATGTTCTTGTAGGAGGTACTTGCAATAAAATCTTGGGTAAGTTTCAGGCCCATTGCTCATCTGTTGTCTGCATTTTTTTTTTTATTCACTCGTGAAAAGATTTATTGTCTTTTTCACACTGTTGACTTGGTTGGAGATGATGGTGGGTAAAATGCGCAAGGCACCTTCTTTGAAAAGTCTGCACACACACATACACACAGCCCCTCACTCCTTGAATTCAGACAAGATATTTATTTCTCCGGTGGATTGTTTCAGAGGCAGAGCGTCTCCATGGTGATGGCAGCCCACAGATCAGGATGGGGAAGAGTGAGGGAAGGAAGGAGGCGGCAGAGAGAGAGAGAGAGAGAGAGAGAGAGAGAGAGAGAGATGATTCCAGTTTATCTGCCACTGCTGTACACTTGTTGACACACATATATGCTGATGTGTATTCACACAGGCGGTTAATACTCTCTCTGCTCCTTTCTCTCTTTTCCACCTTTCGCTCCTGGTTTCTGTTCTCTCTCCTCCCTCCCTGCTCTCACTGGCTCTCACTGCTTCCCTGCTCTTCTTCTTTATGTTTCTCATCAGGTGCAATATGTTTTACCAAGCTTCAAACTGGGTCATTTTTGCCATATTAAACAGCATGATTACTACACAGGTGTGCCTTAGGATGGTCACAATAAAAGGCCACTCCAAATGTGCAGTTTGATCACACATCACAACGCCACAGATGTCACAAGTTTTTAAGAGAGTGTGTCATTGGCATGCTGACTGCTGGAATGTCCACCAGAGCTGTTGCCCGTGAACTGAATGTTCATTTCACTACCATAAGCTGTCTCCGATGTCGTTTGCCTGAATTTGGCAGAACGTCGGACCAGCATCACAACAGCAGACCCCATGTAACTACACCAGCTCAGGACCTCCACATCCAGCGTCTTTACCTGCACAAATGTCTGAGACGAGCCATCCAAACAGCTGATGTAACAATTGGTTTGCACAATTGAAGAATTACTACAAAAACTATTCTCAGGGAAGCTCATCTGCATGTTGTCATCCTCACCAGCGTCTTGACCTGACAGCAGTTTGTCATCATATCCAACTTGTGTGGTTGTGAGTGTTGGATGGATGGATGTACTGCCAAATTCAGGGAAATGACATTGGAGACAACCTATGGTAGTGAAATGAACATTAAGCTCACGGGCAGCAGCTCTGGTGGACATTCCTGCAGTCGGTGTGCCAATGGCACACTCCCTCAAAACTTTGCATTGCGTTGTGTGATCAAACTGCACATTATAGAATGGCCTTTAATTTTGACCATCCTAATTTACACAAGTACGAGTACGAGTACGAGTAATTTAAACCTGTGTAGTAATCACAAAAAGGAGAACTGCTCACTAACACAGATTTTAACAAATTTGTGACCAAATTTGAGAGACATACATATGGAGTGCATATAAACGTCTTAAGCCTCCTACAGACTATGAGATTTTAGCGCTCTTGTAAGTTTAATGCAAACTATGCTGTACCACATGGATTTAATACACTTGGGTACGATATAAAGTTTGATGTATGCAGACTGTATAATGACAGGTGTATGATGACAGTGAATTGCAGGCTACGGCGTGCAATGCAGTAGCTTCCCATACTGAGTGTGCTTGGATGCTGTACAAGTTGTTAATTCAGTTCAGTTCATTTCAGTTTTATTTATAAAGCCTGATATCACAAATCACAATTTGCCTTAGATGGCTTTACAGCACACAACATCCCTCTGTCCTTGAAACCTCACAGCGGATGAGGAAAAATTCCCCCCCAAAAAACCCTTTGATAGGGAAAAAAAATGGTAGAAACCTCAGGAAGAGCAACTGAGGAAGGATACCTCTTCTGGGACTTCTCCAACTGTGAAGCGCATCATAGAGGGTCACTTTAATAAATAACCTAAAATTTTGTGGGCACTATATACTGCGATGTGTCTGTGTGTGTTTGTTAGCTGCTAGGTTGCTCACCTGGCAGCTGCAACTCCGCTGCTATTTCCTTCCATGCTTCGTCCTTCTTTATGCGATCATAGTAAGAGCTGGCGGACGCACCATACAGGCAAAGCTTCTGCTGCCACAACTTGACAAGGTTTTCCTCTTTGCTGGAATCCCACACATTTCTTTTAGCGCATTTTGCCTCCATGACAAGCTGCTATCCATTTGCTTGTTTAGGTTAGCACCAGCATGTCATTTCATGCTGCGGTTTCCATTGGTTGGTTAGAAGATGTAGGACATAACAGCAGTCACAGTGAGATGGTCATCCCAAATTTCTGGTCCAGTTTTATCCTAAGCAGTCTTTGATTGCAAGACCGTGACAGTGGCCATTCTTGAACCTCTCACTGCGATGTAGGATCCCTGTTTTAGAGCCACGACCAAAGATGTCCCCATGTTTCTTTCACGATGCTCATCTTTTGTCTGTGACAACCCAAAATTGCACAGTGTATACCAGGCTTTAGATCTTAACTTAAACCTATGAAAAATGGGAGCAAAACAAAAAAGTGTTGTTTAAAGGTTGCTACTGTAGTTGTTGTAGTAATAAATAAAACCATTTAAAACTTTAAGGAAAATCAGATCAGATCACAAGAAGTGTGTTCACAGAAGCGATTTAGAAAGACACTGAGTTCCTCTGGCAGGTTGTTCCACAGTGTGGGTGTTTAAACAGCAAACACTTTGTCCTAAATCTAACCATGGGAACAACAGGCAGGGTCCTGAATCTTCAGACCTCAGACCACCAGCAAAATTAGTATCTGCCTCTGAAGGCATAACACAGACATATAATCAAATATATAAAGTGTGAAGAGAGTAAAGATCAACAAAGCAAATGTGTTCAAAGGCATACTGTAAAACCAGTGGGTGTCAGATATTACACATAGCCAGCCATCTCCAGACATTATTCTGTGAACCCAATAACACATTTCACAAAAGAACATTACTAGTATTTCACTACTGAACATTTGTCAGCGCAAATGAGTCATTACAAATAGCAGCAGTGTACGCTTTGTGATTGAACTGTTTTGGCTCAATATTTCAGTGTTCAAGACATTTGAGAATATTCATTAAATGGGGTGCATGATTGCATGTGTGTGATTTCTCCTACCACATTTCCTACTGTTTTAAACATTGGAGCATGTTAGCCTTATGACATCTAAGTTTAATGTGTCAGGAGATGTGTCTGGTGTAGTGTGGTAGCTCTCATGAACCGTGTTTCCAGCAGCAGCAGAAAAGCTCGAAAAACCACTGCACTGCACGTTCCCTGCTCAGCACCACATAGCAGACAGACACAGTTAGCAACTAGCTGCTGAATATACTGTAGTGGAGCATTTAGCAGCTAAACAGCCAGATATTTCCCTCAGGGGTTGCTGAAGAGCAAAATAGAGCAAACAGCAGAGTGAATATTGGACTTAAATTCACCAGAAAGATGACTGTATGAATGCACCTGTTTTCTAACACACAGCCACAACAACTGCGGTCATGATATGTTGTGTTCACAGATTGTTGTGCTGCTTCTGAGGCCAAAAAACAGTTAATGCAGTTTTAAAGAAATCTACAATATGTTCAGTTTATCTTGATGTCACTGTTCAGAGGCTGAAAAATTTATCAGTTTCACCACACTCATGAGTTTGTGGAGGGGGCTTTTAATTATGTATATCCATTATGTATTTGTAACGTAGTGGGTAAGAAATACAGCTGGAAGTCTAAATTGTGCACATTTTGCCTATAGAGCAACACTCAGATATTCATACATCTGACTCAGACTTGACCTGTCATTCTCAGGTACCTCATGAATGTGACATTTGAAGGCCGAAACCTGTCATTCAGCGAAGAGGGTCACCAGATGTTCCCCAAACTGGTCATCATTCTTCTAGACAAGGATAGACAATGGGACAGGGTGAATATCTTATTCTCCTTTCCTCTCCTACTCCTCTTCCTCTTGTCTTTCTCTTTTCTTCCCCTCTCCGTTATTTTCCTCTCCAGTTCTTCTTCGCCTCTCCTCTCCTTTGTTCTCTCCTTTTCTTTGTATCTTCACTTCCTTTCCTCTCTTCTAATCTGTTCTCTTCCTGTCTTCTCGTTTCTTCTTCCCCTTTTATCCTCTCTTCTTCTTTTCCTCTTCTCTTCTTCTATTTTTTATCTTCTCTCTTCTCCTCTTTTCTTGTTTTCTTCTCTTATTTTCTTCAGTTTTCTTTATTTTCCTGTCTCCTTTTCCTCCTCTGTTATTCTCTTTTCTTCTCTCCTCTCTCTTCTTTCTGTTCCTCTTCACCTCTTCTCCTCCTCTTTTGTTCTCTTCCCTTCTTTTCTTTTGCTTTTACGTATTCATTTTCCTCCTGTTTTCTCCACTTCTCTTCCTCTGTTTTTTTCTCCCGTCTTGTCTGTTCTCTTCTCTTCTCTTCTCTTTTTCTTCTCCTCTGTTATCTTTTTTCTCTTCACTGCTTTTCTCTTTTATCTTCTCTTTTTCCTACTGTTAGCCTCTTTCTGTATCTTGTCCCGCCCTTCTCTCTTCATCTAATCTATCTTTACCCTCTGTGATGTGTCTGTCACTTCTTCATTTGGAGTGTCTCCCTGCCACCTGAAGCACCTGTTACAGTAGCCTGTATATCACACAGCCTCCTCCCACTCCCTCATGCAGGTTGGCAAGTGGGAGAGAGGCTCCCTGACGATGAGGTACCATGTGTGGCCTCGCTTTGAGCTGTATTCTGCAGCGGAGGAGCAGGAGGACCACCTGTCCATCGTAACTCTGGAGGAGGCGCCGTTTGTCATTGTGGAGGACGTGGACCCGCTCAGTGGGACCTGCATGAGGAACACTGTGCCGTGCCGCAAACAGCTCAAACTCACGTGAGAATTTAAACATGAGAATACTAAATTCTATTAGGTTTTGTTTCCCGTTTTTCCTAAAGTCATTTTGGTCTCACGGGAGTAAAAAAATCAGATTTGTTTTTACTGTGTGAATCCGGGATGAATATTGTAGAGTTGAGTTCTAAAAATAGAACACTTTTTCTTGATGAAACTTAGTGTGAGACATATTGATTTATACATCAATATGGCTGCAAAATGAATTATTTAAAACTTTGCTGGTGTACTGTGTAACCCTCTGCATGTATTCAAAGTCAAACAAATCACCAGTATAAAACACCATAAAACACCAGCAGCATTGACAGTTTAGCAGAATATTATGAATAATTGTGAATGTAACCAAAGGAAATAGAGAAATGAATCCATGTCAGTATAAAACATTGTGCAGAGATGAATGCTCACAGTCATTAATTATTGCACATTTCCCTTGAATTTTCCTTTTTTTGCATCTTTGGCTTCTTTGTTTATCATTTTTCATCAGTGCTACATGCTGCATTAATTCTCTTTTCTCTACTGGATTTTGAAAACATAACCATTTTCATCCTTTCACGGCCTCTCAGCATCCTCTGATTACCTGCTAACCACATCATTGTATTGGTTTCTATCACTGTTGTCCTCTCTCCCCTGCCTCTTCACCCTCTTGCTATCCACTTCTCGTTGGTGTGTGATAATGAATTTTCTTCGATGGCCTCCTTTTCTATCGCTGGCCTACCTGAAATCTCCTGAGGGTGTCCTACATCTTCTGGCTCAGTGGTTTTTTTATTGACTGATCTTCCACCCTGTTCTTTCTCCTATTCCCCTATTCCCCTTTTCTCCTTCCCTCTGTCCGTCTGTCGGCCGGTCTGTCTGTCTGTCTCTTTCTTCAAAGACATCCACAGCATTTCAGGGATAGGCAGAATATGCCACAGAGAATATGCAGGATTTCTCTCCAGCCAAAAGAACTCCATGAACCAGATTCATGGAGTTGTCTAGATTTGTCTATGTATGCACAAAAGCAGAAATATGTGGACACAGCCTTAGTCATATTCCATGCTTACAGTGCATTTTACCACAGTTATCACAAAGATATTCATTATTGATTAATATGACAATTATTTTCTTGATTATTTGATCTTAAAAAATGTCAGAACATTTTGAGAAAGCTCTGAAACATTTCAGAACAGCAGCACATCCTCACATTTGAAAAACTGCTGAAAAAAGACTGAAATGATTGATTAATTATAGCTCAGGTAGGCAGAAATCTGTATAAGGGGGAAAAAAATGGCAGATTTTTTAAAAATACACCCTCCTCCTGCAGCTCGCCTCTCTCCCTTCTCTGTCTCAAGCCCCTCCCACCAGACGACCACAGGCATATGCATGCTCTTCATACTGTATTCTAATGTTTCCCATACATTGATTTATTTAATCTTATTTCATTGTTGAAGTGTACACAGCACATTCGCTCAGCCTCTCTTTCCCCTGCTCCTTCTTTTTCTCTGATAATCACACTACAAATGTCAGACACAAACTTAGCCAATTCCTCTGTCACCTCACATCGCTCTCCGCCGCCGCCCTAGAGGGGAGCTGGCAGCAGCTCGGGAGATGAACCATCAGATGACAGCGCAAACCTTCTCCCCGTGCTGGGTTTCATAGTGGACTTGTGGCCAGCGGCAGCACTACGTGTAACTTGTTAGGTGATCTTGCGGGGAGTTGCGACTGTTGGTCCCCCAGTGCTGGGTTTGCGCTGGCTGGATTTGTGGTGCTGTGGCCGCTGACTGAAGGTTTGTCTCTGGAGCTGCTGCCCACCCTCCTCTCAGTGAGGTAGTTTGTAGTGAATGAGGTGAAGGACACACTGTGATTTGAGTCTCTAGCTAATGTTATCTAAGCCTACATAATCATGAACTTGAAGCCGCAGCCGTAAGCTTTGGCTTCGCTTTGGTTAGCAAAACGCTAAACCATCAGCAACATTTTCTCTCCATCTGCTTACTGGCACGTGTTTTGTTTCATTTATTGTCAGACTCTTCTTTAGACTCTCTTTTTGATAAGTCTGTGTTCTGTTTTTTGGGTTGCTTTGCAGTGTAGGAAGTTGATGCCAATGCTGGAATAGCAACTTTCTCTGCAGGATTCTCAGCCATCGAATTAGGTTTTAGCCGAAGGGATGTGCACGTGCATCTGTTTGTAGAACAGATTTGTAGAACAGCTGATAGGAACACCCTCTCTGAAATGACCCATGATTGGTCAAAGTCTCCTATAACAAGCTAGTTTTTCTAAAGTCTGAAAACAGAGCCCAGAGGAAGTCTAGTGTTCTCTCAGACAACTTGAATTACAATATGTTCAGTGTTTGTAAAGGGATTTTTGCCCAATGATGCCAAAATTAAACTGCCTGCCCCAAGTTTAACACAAAAGTTGCCTTTAGAGAATGTTAAGTTATATCACGCTGTGTGGGATGGGACAGCCATGTTTGGAGGATTGCGCCCCATCCAAAAAATTCAACATGGCGTGCCGACAACTTCACATTCTCTATTAATGTTCTGTCAGTCGACATTAATTCATCTGAACTCGGGTGGTTTCAGTGCGTTGCTCTTGGTGTCCCATTTTTTAAAGTGTGCTAATCAGTGAAACAACCTGGTCAATTTTATTAATTTACTTTCATTTCATGTCATCCCTGCTGCTGTCCTCTCTCTTTTGAATTTTCTAGTTTATTGTGCCTGAACCCAAATAAACTTTTACACCTGTTCCCCATATCTTAACTTCCTCTTCTTCCCCTCTGTACCATCTACCAGCAATCAGACGGGTGATTCAGGGATTTACATCAAACGCTGCTGCAAAGGTTTCTGTATTGACATCCTGAAGAAGATTGCCAAGACAGTCAAGTTCACTTATGACCTCTACCTGGTCACCAACGGCAAACATGGCAAGAAGGTGAATGGGACATGGAACGGCATGGTCGGGGAGGTGAGGACATTACTCTTTATTTTACACAAACACTACATTTTTTCCACGTTCTTGGTGAATTACTGGCTCTGATTTTGTTTCACTGATCTGTAGTGGACAGATGTTTTTTGAGTTACATATAAGGTGCAAAAGAAGAAAGGTGGATCTTGTTTGGATAAGCTTAGCTCAACATCAGAAGGAAGCAACAGTTTAGCATTGGCTGTAAACAGCTTTGAAATACCCACAATGACAGTTTGGACGATTTCATACAGACCTGCTGGCACGTCAGCTGATTGTGGATTTCACAGCTGGCAAAACACTTGCAGCATAGCGCTAGAGACCTTGCCATGCAACCGTTATCAAATCAGCAGAGTGACTAAACAGAGCATGATACTTAAAATCTAATAATATTCCACATGTTTCTCTGACTTCCATCAAAACTGGAATAGTACACCAGTACATTTGCTATGACTGCAGGTCTTTTTTATTAATTGGTGTCCATTTAGCTCATCACTGTGGGTGGTGTGTCACTGGTGGCATGCAATATCCCTCCCACTATTTTCTTAAGAGCGTGGTGCATTCAGCATGCCTCCCTGAAGACATGCAACACTATTTATAATGACACAGTGAAAGAAAAGTGATAAAAATATAATCTGCTTCAAATGTCAAGGGTCAAATTCAACATCTGCTATTTTGTAGAGTGAGAAAAGTTGCAATTTCAGAGGCGTATAGCTGAGAATTTAGCTATCAAGCTTCTCTCTCTCCTATTGCATTTGTTTAATGGTGCCTGATAGAATTTGTAACACTGGAATGTGAAACAAATCACATTATGCTGACCAGTGAAATATGAGGAAGCTAATATTAACAACAAAAAATGTGGCAATTTAACTTAAAATGCAGTGCTTCTTTTTTGTTTATAAACCCAATATATTCCCTGTGAGAATACACCAACATCAGGTCTAAAGCTGTTGATTAATATATCTTGAATTTAATCTGTTTCAACCTCGTGGCACAATCAATTATGGCATATTACATTCCTGCAAACCACAGATAAGTTACATTTGTATGTTATTATATAGCGGATACGTTAGAATTTTGCATTTCAATATCACTGTGGTTAAAGTTTTGTTAGGTTTAGGCACAAAAATCACTTGGTCATGGTGAAGACAACATCATGTTTTGGCTGGTTTTGGTGGCTAAAAAGCCCCTATCCCTGTAAAGAGCAGGCATTTTTCATGGCACTGTCACCGGTGGAAACACAGCAGTGGGTCGCTAAAAAACAAGTTTGGTGGTTAAAAAGCTGCTGGAAGACGCAGCAATGACTTGCGACATAATAACTGGTTTTGTTGTTTGTTGGTCTCGATCAGTGGTCTGCATCTCGGCAGGTGTCTCGCCTAGATGCCATTCCATCCACCATACACTTCACCTCCTGATGACAAAGTCGGCTCATATACTATGTCACTTTAGAAACTTTGATATGATATGGATGAAGTATACAAATGTAACACATACGTGGCCTGTAGACACACCAATATTTTCTTCTGGCTACTGAACTGATGATTTATGTTTGTTTATCTAATGGATGTTTGTTGCCTCTTCGCTCTCTGTTTTTTGCTTTCACTTTTGCTGCTCTTATAGCTGATTTTAAAGCAAGACTGTAATGATACAACTGGGTGTTTGGTGCCCATAGGAATTTATTTTTATGATAGGGCTAATTATATTGTCTGAGTGTCTCTTTCTTACTTTTCCTGTCAGCCATCGAGCTGCACTTGTTCCCCACAACCTGGCCTGAGGGGGAGCTGTGATCAGCACCGCAAAAACCTCAGGAGGAGGACAATGAGGCTCCTAATCAGAGATGGAGACAGAAAAAGACATAGAGAAAGAAAAAGCGATTGGAAGAGAAAAGGCGAGAGAGAGAGAAAGCAGCCTCAGGGAAAGACCCATTTCTCTCCTGCACACATTACACAGTACACAATTCAGCACTATGCAGCCTTTGCAAATCGATGTAACGTCCAACCTAATTGATTATGGCAAAGAACGAGCAACATTATTATTATCTTTGGAACATATGAGTTAAGAAGTGCTGGGTAATGTCAGATTTCAGTATCTGAAGTTCACCTACTGTAGATATTTTTATAAAATACCTGATATATATATATATATATATATATACATATATATGTGTGTGTGTGTGTGTGTGTGTGTGTGTCTGTCAGCGTTAAGGCAAAGGCATGCAAATGTGCAGTGCATGCATGCTTGGACACATTAGTCGATGTCCTTAAATGCCTAAGCAAGCAGCTAATGACTTAATTTGAATGGGGGGAAAACAGGACAGCAGACGCAGAAAACAGAATGAGAGAGAGAGAGAAAAACAAAGCAGGCCTCTATGAAGAAGTGTGACAAACAGAGAAAAAAACAGTGCGTAGGTTTCCTGCTCACTCTGGCATACATATCCCTTATTAACACAGTCTTTTGTGCTCCATTTTTATTCATGGCCCGGGGCTCCAGAAACTTGGGGCTAAATATACCTAAACACTCTCAGAGGGTGGCTAGTTTGGTGGGGAGTCGAATACTGACCCGCTGTAGTAATGATCTTCTTCTCCTCCTGCATCCATTTTACTGAAATAGTGTGTTGAACACTTGGCAGAGATAGTGGCTTGTGTATAAACTGCAGGGCTGAATGTTTCTTTCACTGTAATCCTGAGAATACTCAGCTCTGACCTTTCACATTCCCCTCCTGTCTGTCTCTGTCTGTCTGTGGTTGACCCTCAGGTGGTGTTGAAGAATGCCCACATGGCAGTGGGTTCACTCACCATCAACGAGGAGAGGTCAGAGGTCATTGACTTCTCTGTGCCCTTCATTGAGACGGGCATCAGTGTCATGGTCTCCCGTAGCAACGGCACCGTGTCCCCCTCCGCCTTTCTTGGTGAGGAGAAACACACCTGGTGCTTCTGGCAGATGTACAACACAATCCAGAACACTCACATGCACACGCACACGCTCATATTGAATAATAAATGCACAATCACAGACAGAGTACAAGTAGGTTTTTCACAAACAAGGACATTGTTTAATTGTGTTGATCAGTGTTTTCCAGCAGCACGAAACAAGTGTTTTCACATGGTGACATAAAATGCAACGGACAATCAGTTTAAAAAAACCTGCATATTTTTCTGTGAACATCACTAAAAGAGAGATGCATGTACTCATACGTCAACATTAATGTAAAAGGAGTATGGTTGACCTTTGGAAACCATAGTTGACAAAACAATCTCACAACAAGGTCCATTTAGTGGCTCTTCTGGAGCTTTCAGTCATATCACACACAAGTTGTCCTGGAATTGTAGATGTTCAAATTTCCATTGTTCTGAACACTTGGATGACGTCTCCTTGCCTTGTTTTAAAGTCCCTACTGTTGTAATCCTTTCAGTCCTTTCATTTCAGTCCTTGGTGACTCGTAGACGTCTGTTGTTACTGTGGTAACAGCAATTAATACTACAAGTCACAGAATTCTGCAGGCAGTAAACACTCAAGCAGCGATTTTATCAGAAACACAAAGAAGAGCTGTTGTATTTGTTCACAGAGCAAACAGACTTACTGAGGAAGTCAGTCAATTACCATCCTTTCTCCATCATGCCGTGAGCAATCGCGATGTGATTTCATGTTGTGCACAGAGCGAAATTTTTGCACACAGCAGCAGGGCAAAGAGAAGCTGGTTACCTTGTTGCATAGTTGAAGGTGTCACAGCTCATTGCGGCTGCTCCTTCATGTTTCATTACTCTCTGCAATATTTGAAATAGACCCAAAAAATGTTTTGTAGGTGTATCCTTGATGAATGATAGCTGCCAGTGCTGTCCCCTGGGATAAATACATTATATTTCCTGTCACTGCTTCAAAATAAAAGCCACCTTGTGTTTTGCCAGTCTTTTAATGCAAACTAGCAGCAGAAGAAAATGTTCAGTTTGCATTAGTAGTAACTTAATAAAGGTCTGATAGGGCTGTAGGAGAGTGAACAGTAAACAGTGAGGCTGTTACCAACAGGGGCGTCTCAGTAAGTGGGACTGATTACCCAGCACCTCAGTGGGAGGGGGACCCTCAAAAAGCCTGGAATGAAAAGTTTGATGCTGAAACACCAATGTACACTGTCATTTCTTCCCTAAAAATGGGAAATTGGGTACCAAAAAAGAAAAGAAAGAAAGAAATGGGAAAGAAAAAAAATTCAAAAGGTACATGAGAGTTTTCTGTGACTTTACATGACGTAAATGTTGATTGCACAATGTACTGGCTATAGAATAATGACACCATCTGTGCCTATATTGGTTCCCTTAAGCCTCGCTTTCACAGTGCAACTCTGTCTGCCACCAAGTACAATCTCCCGGGAAAATGAAGGCTTAATTTACAGCACAAAAGGAAGTGTGTCAACCATTGCACAACCAAAACAAGAAGTGGATAGTGCATGTGTTTTTCCCAGGCCCCAGATTTTTCCCAGTGGCCACTCGCCGTATTGCAGCAAAAAAAAGCCCAAACGCATTTCTCCATAGGCCACCATTATCAAAGAGACAAAGTGTTGACAGGACACCTCGAACTGCACAAATTATAACTCTACTATTATGAATTTTTGATCCATGGACATTTTCTGGTTGTAAAACTCTCCTTGATCATCACAATGTGAAGTCTATGGACCAAGCGGGAGCTTGCAGGTGGGGCCAGTGGACCAAACTCTACTGCACATAGTTAGTGGGCCACATAACCCAGAAGTAAACCTGGAAACTAGAAACTTTTTGGCCATGTGAGCAGTCCTCATTAGACTGAATAGGCGCTGCCTTGAGGTCCACTATCCAGATCAAATAATACATCTATGGTTTTCCTCGGTAACTATCCCCAGTTACCAAAGAGTGTCTTTATAAGTTCTTTATTATCCCCAGTCGTGGAAATGGTGGACGGTGGAACAACAGAGGTCACAGTTGCTAGGCTCTGAGGAAAACGGAGAGCGATGCAGTTATCCCTGTGACAATGGTGCCAACAATAATACCAAAGTTGTCTGTTTCTAGGTTAATGTTAAACTGCTCAGAAAAAGGAAGATTGTAACATTTACAACTCGATGTGCTGATGAATATCATGTGATGTAATCGAAGCACCAGAGCAGCCACTAAATGGACCTTGTAGTGGGATTATTTTGTTAACTACAGCGTTACGGTGTTTGTCACAGATTGTTGTGTGTGTGAAAATTGCAAAGCAGAGTGCAAGTGGTGGAAAATGTGCCCATTTCGATGAGGACATCTGTCCATTCACACCTACCTACCGTCCTCTCAGTTTCTCTCTTGAGAAGTGCTTGTTAGTGTTCACACAAACGCGGACAAAATCCATCACTGTGTAACAACGAGCACACAGTACATAACGTCTGAATACAAATAATCATGTTGATACCAGGGGGTGATTTTATAATTTTCTCTAATTTGGTTTAATGAACTTCCTGTCTCTGTCTCTCCACAATCCTCCGCCCCTCCCCTTTCCATTCCCCCTGCGCCCTGCTGCACCCTGCTCTCCCATCCACTTCCCCCTCTCTCTCCCCCTCTGTGTTTTAGAGCCCTTCAGTGCTGATGTCTGGGTGATGATGTTTGTGATGTTGCTGATGGTGTCGGCCGTGGCTGTGTTTGTGTTTGAGTACTTCAGCCCGGTGGGTTACAATCGCTGCCTGGCAGATGGGCGAGGTGAGAGGATTGCACACGTACACACACATGCACACACATGCTCAAACACACACAAGATCAGACCCAGTCAATGCATGCTCTAAAAAGGGGACAATGAGGTACATTTTCAGGCTCATCTCATGTGTGTGATATGAAGACTTGGTTTGCATGTTTTGTTACCTTGAATGCACCATTCAGACAGAGCCCCTCATGTGCTAAATTACTTTGACAATCCCCTCTGAATGAGCGCGACTGGAGTGCTGGGACTTTCTACTCAATGTCTTGGAGTACTTATCTCCATCTACAGTCACTTAAGCTCTTTTACTAATGAAAAGGATCATTGGGAAGAGCCAGATAGGTGATCTTAAGTATTCTTAGCATCACTGAGTGAAGAAGGACTCCTCTGTTCTTGCATTACAACGTCTTTTTTCATTTTGCCATACTCAAATATTACACAGCGTTGTTACACATCCAGGGTTGTAAAACAGATGAGTACACTTAAGCAGATCTATTACCATACGTTGAAAATATGTGTCAGGTTTAATGGTGTCTGACAGTATGGAACAACACTACCCTGTTGAATCAGATTTGGTTCCAGCAGGCCGTTCAAATCAATTTGCCCATCAAAATCAATGGTTCAGATTCAATCTATTTTTTTCTCCAGGTTTTATACACCCAGCTCTGTTTGACTCTCAGGATTGTATTAGGCTGCCACAACGGCAGCCACTCAAGATAAAATCAGAGGTGTGTTATATTGCCTTTTTATCAAGGAGCAGAGGGGAGAGGAGTAATGGTGTTTGGTTTGGAGTTATGTTAGTGTTTTCTGAATGTCTTCTGTCACAGCAACAGTGTATGGTGTGTGTGGTTTAATCGCTGGGTTATGTAAGGCTGTTGTCCATTACTGCTGCTCCAGCTGTAGCATAATTGTAGTGTGCTATTTGACTATCTACCTACCCCCCCCCCCCCTTCTCTTTTCCCTCCCTGTCTCTGAGAGCTACAGTAGGTAGTGTTTCCATCCCGCTACCTTGTCATACTGCTGTAGAGGTAGGTGGAACAGAGGTAGTCTGTAACAGTAGGTTGTCACAGCGGCGGCTGGAGGAGCGGATGTGGACCGTACAGCGCATCCTGCGATCACTGACAAACTAAAGGATGGGAATAAATCCAGTCTTTGTCGCCGCCATCCATCAAGTGACTCCCACAACGACGGTCATGAGTAAATGCAGATAAAGTGAAGTAGCACCTGGGATCTGTGAAACTGATTTCTTGCATCCTCTTCCCTCTGTCATCTCTTTTTTTTTTTTTTTTTTTGCCCCCCTCCTCCCACTCTCTTTTATGTCTCTCCCAGAGCCCGGCGGTCCCTCCTTCACCATCGGTAAGGCCGTCTGGCTGCTTTGGGGTCTGGTTTTCAACAACTCTGTCCCCGTGCAGAATCCCAAAGGTACCACCAGTAAGATCATGGTGTCAGTGTGGGCCTTCTTCGCTGTCATCTTCCTGGCCTCCTACACTGCCAACCTGGCTGCCTTCATGATCCAGGAGGAGTATGTCGACCAGGTGTCGGGCCTGTCAGATAAAAAGGTGTGAATTGAAGGCAGTATGAAGGGTTGTGGGGTGGAGGAGCAGGTGTGTGAAATTACCTAACGTGGGGTGTTATGAGACTAAGTATGGACGGCTTTCTATTATCTGTGTGAGTAGATTAGAGTCTGTGAGCGGGTTCATGATGCAGGGCTGCCACTGAGGATTATTTTGTTTTTGTATTATGCTTTTTATTTAACTTTTATTTATACATAGTATGAGTCATTATTTAAACAGAAAAGGAAACTACTTTTGGGATCATTTTTGGGATGCAGTTGTTCCCAGCCTTTTTTGTTTTTTTGTACCACCACAGTGCTATAGGTGAGTGACGCCACCTGTCATGTTTCCAATGTATTAATTTGAATTAAACTGAAAGTCATTTAGAAGTGTTATTTAACACTATTAGTTACCGCAAAACTTAAATTAAAAGCCTAGTTCCAATTAAACACCCTTTTACCAACTGGTGTGGCTACACATTTTGAAAAAAAAAGCCTGTCTCAATTAGACGCCTGGTCTGGTTGCCAAGCAGTTCATCTTTTTTCTAAATGTAGTTCTGCGGCTATATAAAAGCTGGTTGTTGGCTTTGTCAAATTATGTGTCCATTCCTCTACTACCCTGTAAGTTATTCAAATTCCTTTAGTCAGTAAGAGTCCTCAGATTAAAAGGATCAAAAGGGTTTTTCATAAAAAACAGTCCAAGTTATGAAAATTGTTTTAACAGGATAAAGTGGTATTGTGTCATTATGCCAGGTGCCATAATCCTCGAGTGCTATAACTCTCTCTGATGCGCTGTCTGTCGGAGCTATATCAAATGAATGATTCATAATTGATATATTATCTGAAGCCTAGTATTTATACAAGTAATATTCATACTGGTTTAAAATAAACAATTTGATTGTATTTGAGAAACAGTTTTGTGTGAAAGGAATTAAAGGCCTGTCCCAAATATAGGCCCACTGATTTCAGTGATTCAAGCAGATAATAGTCTGGGCCATTAATTGAAGTGCTACGGTATATAAAATTGTATAATGTTAAGATATTTTTTTATCATACAGTTGAACCATCAGAGTTTTTGTAGATTTGGTCATTAACATTTTTGTACAGTATGACTACCTGCATGTTTAAAAATGCTTTCTATTTTCCTGTGCCGTCGACTTGTTGCAGCTGGTAATTTATTGGCTATTGTTACAATAAACACAATAAAGTGAGCTATTCCACAATCTCCTCAGATACCCCGGGGTAGAAGTATCAAGTATTAGAAGAATCACTGGTTTACTTCAGAAAAGTTAAAAGTATTGTGAAAAATACCCAGCATGAGTTATCAGAGCCCAGGATAATTGTTTTCAAATTGCTTGTTTTGTCCAAGCAACAGTCCAACGCCCAAACCCCTCTGTTTATAAAGATATGAAACAAAAGCAGCAAATCCTCAGATTTAAGAAGCTGGAACCAGCAAATGTTGGTTGTGTTTGTTTAATAGATTACTTCAGTGATTAAATGATATCAACACTGTTGTAAATTGACTAAGTATTTTGAACAATACAATAAACTTTATTTATTAACTAATTAAGAGCTGAAACAATTGGTTGATCAATCAATTAGTCGATAAACAGAAAAGGAAATGGTAGCAATTTTGTGATCATTTTCAAGCAGAAATGGCATAATGTTATAAAGTAACTATATGTGACCATCTGCCACTTTTCTTTCTTTCTTTCTTTCTTTCTTTCTTTCTTTCTTTTGTCTTATGTGTGTGTAAATTGAATTTCTTTCTGTTGTGTAGACAAAACTATCAGCTTTGGCTTTGGGAATTAGGATGAGCAGTTTTCACTATTTTCTAACATATTATAGATCGAACAAATGATTGATTAATCAATCAATTTGACTGATTAATCAGTGATGAAAATAATCATCAGTTGCAGCCCTTGACTGATCGTTTCAGTACTTGTATGGTGGATCTGTATTTTAGAACTCGATGTTGTGTACAGTACTCATTTGTCCCAATGTGTCCTCCAGAGTCTCCCATGTTTGTCTGTCTGTTGAGCACAACTCAAAGCATTTCATTAATTTTGAGTTTCCAAAAGCACAGTCCCGTGCTCCTGCTCAACAGTGCATTAAAGGCTATTTGATGCAGCTCAGTGCCTTTTCCATGCTAACGAGCACTCCTCTGTCATTTTCTCTGTGTGGTTTCTTTTCCGGAAACCCCCCGCCACAGTTCCAGAAGCCAAACGAATTCTCGCCACCATTCCGGTTCGGCACGGTGCCCAATGGGAGTACAGAGCGCAACATCCGCAACAACTACCGGGACATGCATGCTTACATGACCAGCTTCCACCAGAAGAATGTAGATGAAGCGCTGTACAGTCTGAAGACCGGGTGAGGAGGAGAGAGATAGAGGGGAGGATGGAGAGACAGATGGAGCGATGTGAGGAAGGAGGGAGTTGAAAGGATCTCAGCAGGGAGAAAAAGAGGCAGTGTGATGGAGCTGTGAGGTCCTGTGCTGATGCAATACAGAGAAAAGATGATGAAGCAATAAGAAGAGGGAGACAGAGGCAGAGGGAGCATTCTGGGTGATGTGGGTGGGCAGCCAGCGGAGCTGTGTTTCAGCCTGCCACCGGCACCCAGAATAGCAGCATAGCCTGTGGTTGCTGTGAAAGCTAGCTTATATTCACACTCTCTACCTCTGAAGTGCAGGCTTATATTTTCTTTTCTACTCACTCTTTCAGTCTCCCTGTCTTCTAATGTTTTCATCAACTTGCTGCAAAAGGATTAAGAATTCAAAGCAGTGATGCACCTCTGGTGTTTGGTGAGAGCCGGAGCTGAATGACCACAGAGGCCCGTAGAGCCCAGAGGCACTGTTTGATGGGAGTTTGTCACCAAGCTGGAGACTGTCATGTCAATTTATCTATCAAATCAGTCAAGGCTGATATGGATAGAACAGAGAAGAATACAGGGTGACCCCAGGACATGTTTCAGCTGAGATGGGATGCACCTTGTCACATTGTCAATTTAGTTATTATAGTCATACTTGAGTTGGGCTGGGCAATATATTGATATCAGATATCATCTTAGATTATGGTTATCTTATATTGTAAGTGTTATTGCAGTAAAATGAGTCAAATAATGTCATTTTCTGAACTTACTAGACTGTTCTAGCTGATCTATTGTTTTACTTTACCCTCTTAGTCATCATATCCTCATTACAGATGATTATTTATCAAAAATCTCTGTATAAATATTTGTGAAAGAACCAATAGTCAACCCTACAATATCTATATCGAGGTTTTTGGTAAAAAAAAAAATATAGTGATGGTAATTTTTCTGAATATCGCTCAGCCCTATACTTGAGTTTAACTAAAGATTAATTCTTGATCTTGGAAACCAAAAATTCATCACAAGGTCAAAGTTACTTGTTGTTTCAGCAGCTTTCAACCACATCTCGTGTTGTTCAGTTGTCATGGAGATGGTTTAGGTTTAACCACTTAACTGAAAGTTCATACTGAGGTCTAATGATGACACCAAAACTATCTCCAGAACAACAGGGCAACTCCAATTGCTGAAGAAGACAACGAAATGTGGTCAAAAGCTTCAGAAACAAGTTGGCTCTTGTATTCAGAATTGTTTGGTGTATGGTTTAAAGTGCTTTTTTTCCTTTAAATGTTAATTTTGTTATTTGTTTTTTTTTTTTTTTTTTAAATGCCATTTAGCAAAGGTGGTGTTTGTCTCTGACTAGATGGTCCTTTATAATATACTACAGGACACCCATGAATAGAACAGAATAGGATAAAATAATCAGTGATTGTATCCAAATCACTTCCTACATGGTTTTACTTTCTGACATATGATTTGAGTGTATGAATTCAAAGTGAAATATCAATGTGTATATTATAGTATATAGTATAGTATATAGTATATAGTATATATTGTGCCCACAGCATAGATAGTTAATTTGTCCTCAGAGAGTAAATTCTTTTCCACAGCAGGTGCATACATCGCACAGACAGGTAAGACATACAGAATTAATACACAAAGACAAAAACATGGCAGGAGCACAATTTTTCCTAAATATCCCTCGGTGCAGTGTATTGCCTTGTAACACAGTATTTTATGGAGCCATAAATTTCTTATAATTTCCTTGAAATAACTGTGCAATTTGTCATTAATTATAGCTGAAATAGAGCAGGGGTTCAATTGTTACACTTGCAATTAATTAATTCCAATTAAATGCTAAGCCAGCGTTTCCTAGAGTGTTTTAGTCATTGCACAGCAGGTCGGCTGAACATGGAGAAATGTGCACAGGGAAGCGTGCAATTTAATGTTAATTGAGAATACAGGCTCCAGTAATGAATGATAAATGAATGTTTACTTGGGTTTACATGAAGCGGTTCCTACATAGAAATTACTCCTGAAATCAGCACCTCTTTTAAACTTAACCCAACTAACTAAACTAATTTAAGCATCTACATTTTTTCTCTAATTAGCGCCGGATCACATGGTCCTTTCAAGGAAACATTCCAGAAATTAGTAGAAAATAACAAACCCAAAAAATTAAGTGTTATCCATCACTGTTAATAGATGTGTAAATTAAATCAGCAATGACACAAATTACAGTGAGTCATAAGTATCCTAAAATCTCAGTTTATTAAACTATTGAGAGGAAATAGTGACAAATGAGTGAGAGAGAGATTTTGGACACATTGATTCACTGTCACTATATAATTGGAGGTGAAAGAGGCTTCATAACACAATGAAAAAGTTTTCCTCTGACACACTTTCCTTCCATGGCGCTCTACAGCAAACTGGATGCCTTCATCTACGACGCTGCAGTGCTGAACTACATGGCGGGCAGAGACGAGGGCTGTAAACTGGTCACCATCGGGAGCGGCAAGGTTTTCGCCTCCACCGGCTACGGCATCGCCATCCAGAAAGACTCCGGCTGGAAACGAGCTGTGGATCTGGCCATCCTCATGCTGTTTGGAGACGGTAAGGAACTTGAATAACAAGTATCTTTATTATTATTGGAATGAAGAGGCTTTATAAATGTCATCATTATAAAGCAATAATGATGACATTTCTATGTGGCTTTTATTCTGTTGCTTTTGATAAAAGATCAATAGATAATCAGAGGTTATATAGTTACTGATGATTGCTGACGCACAAATAGTGTGATAGTCGTTTTTCTTTAGAGATAATGTTTTAAATTGGGTCCTATTTGTATCATAATATCCTCAGTGAATATCCCACAGATCAGTGGGTCCTAACCTTTTTGCTTAAGAGACCCCTTTTCTATCATTGAATAAACTAAGTGACATATGTTATGGCATTTCATGTTATATTCAATGCATGAAAATTACAGTTCAGGACAACTGATAAACTACAATTACAATAACTCAAATAGTGAATTAAGTCTGTGTAAAATGATTTGGATGATTTTCAAACAGATTATTTTCTCTTAATATTTCATCAGAGGTGAGCTCATATGATATTTCTAGAACTTTTAATACAGTTGGCTCTTGGCCATTGTTCTGTTAGCTCTTTGGTTGTTTTAACTGTGTACTTTTCGTATGCAGGAGGACATGCAGTTTTTAATCAGTCTTTAATGATATAGCTTGTGTTCAGGTCTTCACTGTGTCCGTACTCTGTGTTTTAAAGTTGATCATAAATAATAATGTGAACTTTAAGAATAACTTATTTGTTTTTTCTTCACAGAAATTAATGAAATGCTGAGATATAGCATTTGACATTTACTACTATTGCTGTTTTTGTTTTTGTTTTTAAGTTTTCATACACCCCTCAAAATTAAAAAAGGCCTTGCCCCATATAGCTTGGGCTACACCCCCAGTGTGGGTCAGGACCCCCAGGTTGAGAAACAGTGTCACAGACAGAGCCTAAACATTAATACAAGGCTGTCCCCATAGGTCATTTGTACAAGCAACTAATTATAACCCATATTTACGTTTATTGGTATACTGCAACCTCTTGTGGCTAATGGGAGCAAAGGAGGAAGTCAGGGGGTGTAGTATGAAGGGCGACGAGGTCTGCGCATGGAGGGGTGGGGTGGATGGACGGGTCAAACAAACACAGGACTTCAGTCCAAGAGACTGCTGTCCCCATGTGAAACCAGAATTCAACACTGAGTTATTTTAACTTGCACACGTAACATAAAGTACATTACATATTGTACCTAAGTTAGCGTTATATACTTAAATTAACTTATGTACTTATGTTGTGTATGTTACTTAGTAAACCAGCTTATGTTAACCAAAACCATGATCTTTTCTTAAACCTAACCAAATTGTTTTGTTGCCTGAACCTTATCATGCACATGTTCACAACTTCGACTATTAACGGTCACGTATGTCGTTTTGGGAGTCATTGGAAAACAACCTATTCAGTCGTTAAGGTGTGTCACCAGTAGGGGTGCTAGTTTAGGAAACACTCCTGTGGGCTTTGTTAGAGGGTAGGAACATATGAGCTCTGTGGTCATGATTTAGAGGACTTGTTGATTATTACACCTTCTAGGAGGTTTAATGTTGAAACAACCTTAGCAAAGGAGGACCAAATAGATCCACTTCATTAAAAAACTGCGATTGCAGCCTTAATATATTTCACCCTGATTAAACAAAAATGAATTTCCCTGTAGTGTTGAATCTCTGTTAAAGAGTTTAAGAAACGTAACACAATGATCATTCAGATTGAGAATCACAAAATAAAGTTGCGCTCTCATCAGTGTATTAAGGTCAAAGACGTCAAATCATCGAAGTAGCTGTAAAGGAACTGTGACTCAGAAGGTGGCCGGTGTTTGTTACGGTGACAGCCCAAGAACCTGCTGGTAGATCCCGCCAGTCGATGAGCCTGTCGAGCTGCAGGATGAGGCCTCCTGAGCCAGACTGGCACAGTTCAGTCCTTAATCAACAGTGAGGCACCAGCAGGCCTGAAAGGCTGCAGCTGCTGCAGTTGTAGAGGTGAAGGCTTGAGTATAGAAGGAGTTTGTTTATTTGATAACTCAGGGGTGCTGGCAGCACACTGCTAAGGCTGTTTTGGCAGGGACGAGGAATATTGACCTTAGCTGACGACGGGTAGAAGAAGCCCTGTGGATGTTGTTGGTCTGTTATAACTGACATATTTCTTCAGTGTCACGTGGACTAGCAGATTGCGGTAGAGGGCTTATTGATTTAACAGGAAACCCTTAAATATATTTTGATTTGTTCTGGCTATTGCCAACCTTACATCAAACAACATAAACAAATTTCCAATGTTGGAATAAAATTATCAGTGTTTTGCTAGAGAGCAATGCACTCTGGTGATGTTGATCATTTGATGTGAGGTTGTCACAAAACTCAGTCCAAGCTGTCTTTAGTCAGAATTTTTCTTGCCTCGATGTTTTAACAAAATCAAAAATATTAACTATTATCGTTATTTTTATGTCTTGGCTCATACAAATACTGAAGTTCAATGATGTAAACACTGTCAACAACCAATAGCTGCACTCTCTCCAGCACCAAACAGAAAAGCAGCAAAAGAGTTGTGAAGTGAGCAAGAGTTGGTCTTTAATTCAGCATGTATCTGATCCACCAACAAGCACTTAGTTTATTTAGAAATCTTCATTTTTGAAATGGTTTGCCTCCTGACAGTCTCCTCCCGTTTGTATGCAAATATTATCTTTAGGGATTGCCCTGATGCAGAATTGACAACTATAATGTCGACATATATTCCTTGTATCTTGTGTTTCTCAGAGATTTATGTTTTTGCAGTCACATAAAGCATTGTTAAAATGTCATATTACTTAAAGGGAGTTTGGCGTAATATTTTTCACCAGCAGCAGGATGGGAAATAATCCTTAAAGAATCTAGTTTGAATTGAAAATAGTGACCCTGCAAGATTCAGTTCAACAATATAGAGGCAGTATATCTCTGACTACACCAGCACCACATCATGTGAATATTTATATACAGTAAGGGGGAGATTGATCATGAGTCTGTGTCCCATCAGTGTACTTCACGTAGAAAGCTTGATTCTGTGTGCCGCAGAATAATGCTCTCAATTTGTAGGTCGGGTTTTTGTTTTGAGCCCCAGCTGTGCGTGTGTTTTGGGTAGTGACCGAAAGAAGCCGTCAGGGCGTTTGGCGTCGCTCTGAGAGAATGACAAGTGCAGTGATCCACGAGGACCTCTGCATTGAGCTGCTGCTCTGTCATGATGAGAGGATTGAGCCGGTTGAGGTGGTTTGTGTTTGTTGGTTAGGATGCTCATTTGGCATCTATGTTTGAACGACTTTTGGCCACAAATGACACAGAGATCAGAGATGATGCAGGATACACTTGAGAGACATTTCCCATCAGTACGGGCTGATAATGAGAAAACAGACATTCAGGTACAGACATTTAAAAGCCTCCTGCCTAACAACACCAGAATCTCTTAACTCCAAACAGCTGCTGTGTTGGTTGAAACTTAAACGCTGCAGCTAAACTTTGGAGATGAAGTGATCCTGTTTAAACGCTTACTAAAGCTTGTGATCCACGTATTACACACACTACACCAGGACATCACAGTTTACAAGACATTAAAGAAAACCATGTTATTCTGCTATCAAACACACGGACATTGGTTTTCAGAAAATTCTCATCACCACTTTTTTAAAAACCTTTTTCATCTGATATATGGGCACCTGTTATACGACTAAAATTCCACATGAACATAATAACTAAACTGCTGCCATTACAACTAAGCCAACTCCATCTGTTGAGGAATGAGATTTGTTCTTGTTGTTAAAACATTTAAGTTGTTTTACTTATTAGAATGTACACTTACTATAGTACAGAAATAGAATACACATAGGATCAGACTTGGTCTTGGTATACTGATGGCAGGATTCCAAAAAACATGATCAGGGCATCCCTACTCCTGACTGTACCCTCTGACTTTTCGTAGAGAAAGATTAATAATAATCACCTCAAACACAAAGCTATGGCTTAGAGGTCTTATTTTTTATCTGTTTTCTCACATTTTATGAATCCTGCAATGAAGCGATTAATTGAGAAAATAATCACAGGAAGAAAAGCTGCAGGAATTTAGTTGAAAACAGATGCCTCTGCTGCCCTGCTTGCCCTGTTGCTACAGTGGCTCTATAACAGGTGCAAGAAAGGGACAGAGAGAGAGTTTCTGTAAGAAAAAAAAATGGTGCTGCTCCACGTATCTTGGAAGATTTAAATGTTTTGGACAAGTGGTAGAAATTCTGGTCAAATATTTCCATGTTTATTTAGCTTAAAAACAATTGTTGGCAGGCCATAATAAGACTGGCACCATCAAGGCGTGAAGATTTATAATAGTTTTTATTGAAAAGTAGGTTGCCTTTGCTTATACATAATATTCCAAATAAAATAAGTCCCGTCAATAGACTCACATACGTAATGATGCTTTCTTAAAAATAAATAAATAAATATTACGCTAGCCTACGTTCATTGGGGCAATACGTAAAAACAATGACCGTGTCCGAACTGAATGTGATGCGAGTGAGCGCCAGAGACAAAATCTGTTTGATTGCATTGTTTTCTATTGGAATGTCCTAACTGGCCTGAGCTAAACGTTTGTCAAACGCCCTGCTTCTGTTTATTTCCATCAGCTTTGAAAGTACTGCAGTGATCAAGAAACAGCATTGAGAAGTTGAAATGAGGAGTTATCTCCAGCCTACAATACCTCCTCATGTAATTACAAAATTTAAATATGGTGGCAGCTGGTTGGAGGGAGATTGTCACAAGCTTCTCTTGTAATCTTCATACTTAATGTTCATATATAATGTGCTACTTGCTGTTGGCTATAAAGAATGTAGAGGTACGTTGTGTGGTGTGGGACGGGGATGCCATTTTGTGTACTCTGTAACCCACGTTAGCAAAGTGTGTGCCCTCAGTCCAAAAACAAGATAGTTTAAAATGTCCAGGTATGTGAGTGGAGTTAGTGCATCAGGATCTTTAATTCACCCTCCAGCTACCAAGTCATATGGATCCATGTTGTTTATCATGGCTAGTTCGTCCAAATACTATTGTTTGACCACCGTAGCAGGTGCAAGTTACACAGCATGATCCTCACAAGATGGCGCTCCCATCCAAAAAAAGTACAAACATAGGAAAGACAGTAAGTACTTACCAGTATTTTAGGTGGTAACACCTGAAATCTGATCTTGAGTGCACAGCTGATTAGTGGTTTGTTTGCATGACATAACAGAAGTGCATATTTAATGGACTCATTGTGGACAGAGAGCGTCCGATGTTATGTAATGTGATGCCATAGTCGGACTTAAATAGAAATGCTAATCACCAGATAACCAATTAATATTGGAAAGCACATTTGTTGTTGACTGACAAGTGAGAAAATTATTTACTTTTGTTGTTAGAAATGTAATGAAATTATTCATACACTCAAGCATTAGTTACTTATTGTATTACAGTACATCCTGTACTTTCTGACAGATGAAATGTTCCTGCTTCTAGAAATAGAATTAAGTACTGTGGGTACATTGAAAGAATGATTTTAAATTGTATCTCCAGCCTTGGTTTTGGCAGCCCTTTAACATTTTGTATCTCAGGAAAAGCTTCTTGTAAGAGAAACGATTGTCCTTGATGTGAATTGTTTTTCTTGGAGAGTACACCTACAGCAGCACTCCACCACCAGGGACAGTATGTGCTCCTTACTGCTCACCACCTGCCAGATTACATATATTATACAGCACACTGACAAACACACGCACGCACACACACACACACACACACACACACACACACACACACACACACACACACACAGTTGTCTAGTTGTCTTCGATAGCTATCACTTTCCGTGCCAGGGTGTGTGATGGATGAAGAGGTCAGTACAGAGAGAACATTCACATCAGATCAGATCTTTAAGAGCCAAATCGACTCAGACCTCAACATACACTGCTGAGTGATGTTCACTAAAGTGCCAGTCTGTGCGTGTGTGTGTGCGTGCGGGCGGGCGGGCATGCGCACGTGTCTGTGTGGGTACATGGGATTTGACTGCGTGCATGCTTGAATGTGTGTTCCCCAAAGATCAGACATGTCTGCACAAATTTACAAAATGGAATTAAAGTCTCATTGTTCTGTCGACTGTGTACACGAGGCCAACACATCAGACATTACCTCTCATTACTTCATGGAGACTGTTCAGCTGTCAGCACTCATACGTTAGTCCAGGTTAAGAGATTAGACTCATCGATGTTTGCTCATATCTGTCACGACCTATTAGAGTCCAGATATGAACAGGATCTAAGTCATATGTGCAGAGGCAGGGGATCAGCAACGGCACTACTAGCAGGAAACTGAGTGCCACTCCATCTGAACGGATACAGGATCAGGAGGGAAGTGGAGAAAATGTGGAAGATGGAGTAGGAAGAGATGGACTGGAAAGATGATGGATAAGAATGGAGAGAAGATTGGAAAGCAGACAATAATTATAATAGTATAGATTTCAATTATATTATCGATTCTACTTATTGATCCAGTTCTTAATCATTTCCTTTTGTGATTCAATTTTGGTTCATATAGAGAGTGCATCCAGGAGAGCGTTTATCCTGCCCCTATGTCATAGAAATCTGCAGGCTTAGAAGAAAAATCAATTCTAGATGGGAACCATCACTTCCACAGGGTCAATTTTGCAGTTTCCATCCCTGATCTGAGGATGATTCATCAGGTATATCCCTAGGATTTCATCTAAAATCAGGAGCTTCTTGACTTTTTGTAGTTGTGTTTGTTTTGCTTTGTTTTGTTTTCTTTTGTTTTTCCTTGGTCCAATCTGCAAATGTAGATGGGCTGGTCTTGCACTACGTTTTATTATTTATTTAGGAGATTTTACAAATCAGATCGGTCTTTGTCATAGCAGGCGTTAGTAATAATACTCGAAAAAGCACAAATGTTACTTGTAACATTAAAAACGGCTTCATGACACAGGTACTTAAAATTTTGTCAATTGACAAAAGGTGTCAGATGAAAAAATTTGATGCCACTCATGTCAGTGCATTAAGTACGGAGCTGGAGGCAGAAAGCAATTAGCTTATCAAGCTTAGCAGACCAGAAAGAGGGGAAAAGTAGCCATGTTCTACCCACAGTTCAAAAATACACCTCACAGAATAAACATGTTGTACACCATTTGTTTTATTCCATACGCAAACAGAAATGTGAAAATTAAAATGTGTGAGTTATGTGCTGTAAGAATTCTTTGGCAAACAATCAGGGACAGTGACTTCCTTGAGTCGCCACAGTGAGGTTGCCAGATTTTGTACCATCGTACACAGACGTATTCTAAAAGCTGTGCTTTACAAAGCTGTGTTGAGATGCTGCACAGAAGTGCTTGGCAGATGGATGCACTGTTTATCTAGAATTGTCCCAGCATGTAACTGATCTTAAAACCAAAAAATGTTGGTCCTTGTGTTTGATTTAAACAATTGAGATGTAAGGTGTTTGGGCTTTACAGGTGCTGTTGGTCTGATTTATGAATTTTGGACACAGCCAGGCTAGTTGTTTCTCCCTGCTGCCTGTCTTAATGCTAAGCTAAACTTTGCCTCCTGGCTCCAGCTCTGTAGTTAATGCACAGACATGACAGTTTTATCAATCTTCTCATCTAACTGAGAGAGAAGGTAAAAAAGTGTATATCACAAAATGTTGAACTATTTATAAATGAAAGTGTATATTTTACCCTTTGCTTCCAGATTTGGTATATTTTTGTCCACTTTCTGTATGTTGGTCATCAACATGATAATAACTGACCATCTTAACACTGCACATTCTTTTCATTTACTGAGGTTCATATAAGTAAGAAAGACTTAAGCCACATTTCCACTGCATGCCACAGCAGGGCTCTACTCAGAATGACTGTCTTTTTTTTTTTTTTTTTTTTTTTTTTCCATTAGCAAAAGTTGTGGATGATACCTGGCACCTTGTCTTTTTTGGTCAAGGTTCAGAGTGATCTAAGCCACTGCAGACCACTGATTGGTTAAAAAGAATTGCCACTACAATTGCAGTGCATAACACAGGACGTCATGCACAAACCATTCTTAAATAGCCACTTGACCCAGATTTTTTTTTTAAATGGCAGCCTGCAAAACTACACCACACAATTAATGAAGTGCAGACATATCTTTGTTCAGCTGCCGATGAAAGGGTTCAGCGTGTGCCAATGAAGAGGATTTCATGGCAGGTTCACGTGGCATCATTACCGGGATCAGCGGAGAATCCTGCCTACATTGAGGGGGCACTACCTGCAGTGGAAAACGGAATTAAGAAAGGACCTGGTACCAAAAGTGGGCCGAGTTTAGTCAAACCATCCAGTGGAAATCAGGCATCAGTGAAAACAAGTTAACAGCTGTCAGAAATAAACACACATCCGTACACAAAGCAGTGTTACGCAAGCATTGGGAAAATATCTACCCCTGTGATCTCACACAGACACACACAAAAACAGACCTTCGGTGCAGATCAAACAAATCTCTCTGGACGTGTCCTCCCCCCTTAGCAATCCCAGGGATGTGGAACTGAGGGGTACACATTTTAGGGCGGAAACACTTGTCACATGACCACACACACTTCCTCCCTGAGGATTGTCAAGTCCCAGCAGGCAGTTGTTTTCTTTCCCACAACAAGAAAGGGATAGCCTTGCATAAGCAATCCTTAATGAGGATGATTCTCAAGGGGCCGTTCAGTCAAAATAATGCAACATGACATTTGATGCACGTACGTGAGACCTGAGCTGTTTTTGGCATCAACTCCCCATCCAAAAAATGTGCCCTCTCTTTATACTCCCACTTACACGGTCAGACACCTCCCGGCAAACTCATCTAAGTGTACAGGTCAAAAAAACATACACGCAAACATACACACAAACACGTACAGTAACCTGAGTCTATGTATCTCCTTCCTCCAGGTGAGATGGAGGAGCTGGAGGCCCTGTGGCTGACGGGCATCTGCCACAATGAGAAGAACGAGGTGATGAGCAGCCAGCTGGACGTGGACAACATGGCGGGGGTCTTCTACATGCTCGGGGCCGCCATGGTTCTGTCATTAATCACCTTCATCTGTGAACATTGGTTCTACTGGCAGCTGCGCTTCTGCTTCATGGGCGTGTGCTCGGGACAGCCCGGGGCCACCTTCTCCATTAGCAGAGTGAGTGTGCCCGTGTTTTATTTTAGGTCTGACCTTTGTCCTCCTGACAGAAAGATCACAAGGGTGGTTGTTTTCACACCACTGGCTTTGGTTGAGGTGTATCAAGTCAGTCAGGGGGATACGATGACTCACCTGACTTAACCTGTGGCTTTTTTAGCCCAGACAAACAAAACACAAGCTAACAGCATCCCCAAAAAAATATCTTCACTTATCTTAATTCTACAACACTTTAACATTTTTAATTCGTATAAAACACTACAAGCCAGGGGAGCACAATATAGCAATGTTGTAAATATCATTTGCAAGACAAATATGAATTTAATCCTGTCAGACCCAGTCCAAAAACTGGTCGCTTATTAGCTTCAAATGTTGCATTGTCTTTATTAGAATAACTAGGACTATTTGAAAACAAAGACATGTTGATGTGAGTAATTACATTGAAGATTTATTAGAAATATTTTTACATGTAGAATTATAAATTCAGTTTGAAAACATTTGTTACAAAACCTATTTTATTAGGACTCCGAAGGTGAGAGCACTCTACAGGGCGGTAACACAACTAACCAGTGGAAGCTGTGAGGTTTTTGGTCTAACTGGCTGCAGCAGACTCATAACAAACAAATGTCACTCACAGGTAAGGTGTCAGTATGCTCAAAACAAACAATAGTTGTCTGACCACGTCTGGAGGCAAAGGTGTTTATAGCTGTTACAAACAGCCACACTCCAAAGCAGGATGAGAAGTCTGCCATGATAAAGACGGGCAAGACGTGATAATCATTTTAACTTGGGGATAAAAGATAATCTCTCTTCTAAGGCATTCACTCATTTTAACACCTGGCTAAAATAAAAAGAGAGTCTAACCCTGTTACCCTAACTGTCTCACCTCCACAGACCCAGCCAGTTGCTACATGAAGTGGGTGTGTGTTAGGTTTGTTGGTTTCAGAAGATGACAAACATCTACCCAGGTTTTACTCAAATCAAACAGTGCCACTAACATTTATGACTCCATAGAGGCCAAGGGTGAACACAAGAGTGTGAATGGTTTAGTAAACCATCGTAACCAATAAATAACACAGGAAACCCTCACACACATCCCCAGTCATTCCGTGCACCTTTTTAACAATATATCAGTCATTCTTGAGAATTGGGACAAAACCTTATTTTGTCAAAGTCTTGAGTAATAAACCTTGTAGTAGGCCAACCTCCCAGTGATTACCTTTTTGGTTTTTTGAATAGCATACGTAATGGTTGTCAGAGGTCAGATCTAATGGAGTTGACGTCTTATGGAGTTGATAAAAAGTTACACATGTATTAATTTCACAGCAGTCATAGTGAGTAACCATTTCATTTTCAAAGTTGCTAAGGCTTCTCTTAATGCTAATCACAATATTTATTTTTAAACTATAATTCTTATTTAGTTTGGATTTATGGAGTTGATCTGTCTTGGAGTCACACCTGATAGCAATATAATTTAATGATTTTATCAAAAAATAGAAATCTTCCAGTACTTGAGCAGCATTAGAGCTTTTTTTGAAACCAGGAAGTAAGACAGGTGCCCTTAGGATACAGCTAAACCTTTTACACCTGATTAAATTATGTTTTTGTAGAAATCCGATGGAGTTAACAAATTTCTGGAACACATCTGTAAAGGGCCAACATTTTCACACACACAAAAAAAAAAAAAAAACATTTAAAGTTAGTGTTAGATTTTGAAGGCTTTTAACACTTTTTTTTTAATTGTTAGAAGTTCTGAATTCTTGTCTGACACAGGGCAAGTATAGAAGTTAAAAAAAATGAAAGCAGATCAAAATATTATATAAATCATATTTATTTCATACATATAAATCCTTTAAACATAATCTTTCTTCCCAGAAACTGCATTAGTTTGTTGATAAGTTATAATTTTAGGGTTTTCTCAGTGGGACATGATGTGTTCCATTTGTTAAGGATGGTTATACATAAAAAAAAAAAAAAATACAAAAAAATATATTTCTTCGTATTCTTATATCAAAATCCAATCATGCTTTTTGGTTGTAAAAAAAAATGACGTGCTTATGTAAGATAGTACCAACCATGGGACCCCATGGAGGCTATGGGGTATGACATATGTGCAATGTAACTGAAGCTGCAATGTTGGAGATTACAACAGATGGCACTGGAAGTAAAGTGATGGTGTCTGCTCAGGTGCTTTTTGGGTGCATTCTTTTTAGCGTCCTTGGGTGCCTTTCTACCTGACAGAACTTTTTGGGTACGCTCAGATGGATGGCAGCTGATACACAACAGAGCATTTTCAAATAGAAAGGATTTGTTCATGGTCTTTTATTAAAGAACTTTTCAATAATTGTAGGATTGCAATTCTCATCCATAGCTTTGCTTTGCGTATAAAATACATTCCGGCCCAGGGCTAACTGCGAATGTCTCAGTGAAACATATCAATCATCCCCACATTCTATGATGCACCAGCTACTGAGCCTTTTGACAAGTGCAGACTAGATTTAACTGCGCATGTGTTGTATCCCTGTGATATGACACAGTGTTCCAGCCTTCATTTAACAGCTTTTGTTAGTGTGTCTTTGGGTGTTCGCCACCTCAAACCTCACTTTCCGTTTCCTCAAATAGCCTACCATGGTTACAGGCCTGCTGGCTAGAATTTTTTCATTCAGAGGAAAGAGATATCTGTGACAGCTTCAGATTAAGTGCATAGCATTTTATAGTGGACTGCTTCAGCAACTACATGGAGCATAAGATGGACTTCGTTTCTCTCCATCTGACAGATACTACCATCCAGTCGGTGTATACTCTCGGGGCCTTAGTAAGTGACACGCCCAATTCTCAATGATCATATCCAGTTCCTTCCAACATTATGTCCCACCTGTCTATTCTGTTTCACTCTGAAATACGTCACGATACTGAAGCTATACTGATACTACTGAGATGCTGTCTCATCAGGACATTAATGCTGCTGAAATAAAAGCTTCTTACTATGCTGCACATTCTCAGCTGGTGACCTGAAGGTGTGTTTATGGATGTCGAAGAGCTCATTTCAGCGTGGTTACAATTCTGTTTAGATGGGTCACTTAACAAGGTGGTTCAGTGTTATTGATGCAGGCTGTTTAGGTGCACAAAAATAATCACTTGAGGTGTAATTTATTTGCATAATGCTACCTTTTAAGAAAGGGGGGAGGGGAGGTTGTTTGTTGTTGCATGCAAATGGTCTCAGTTATTATTTGCCTGAGAAAAGGACACCAGTGTTTTGGTGTTACTAATTGTAATGTCACTTGGTTTACACCTACTCAGAATAACCTGAGAAGAACTTAAACACAGATCTGCCCTTGAGCACTTCAGAAACACTGCTTCTTTTCTTTTTCTTTTTTTGTTGAATAGGCAGAAATCTCCTTCTGTCCTTGCAGCTTCCAAAGCTGCTATTTTAAATGCAAAACATAAGCACTGCTTTTTGCACGGTAGCTTTACGATTCACTCTCTGACATGCTTGAGACTGATTTTACTTGTTGCATTACAACATTTAAGTGCATACACGTTTGAAGAGTTGCTTTTACAGCCAGATATCATTTCTACATTTCCATGGCTGGTTTAACACTCGAGTAGCAGTGCGAGAAATAAAAAATAGTAAAGATAGAGCAGCATTCAATTAAACTGCATTTCATATACAGAATATAGAAAGTGTAAGGACGGACAAGTGTTGAGAGTACAAAGGGCGAATAAAATACAGAGGGAAAAAAAGAGATCAGTTAGCGACAGTCATGATAAAGAATAAGACGGATGGCAGGACAAAGGCAGAGTAGAAAAGAATAGACACAGCGATGTGCCAGGAACCTCTGTTCTATTACCTTTCACAGCACCTGTAGTAGCTATAGATGTAGAGAGATAAAGACCGACAATCCCATTGGAGCGGCTGCCGCACGCCCGGAAACGGAGATAAAACAGACACAAAGAGAGAATGGAGGCATAAAAGAAAAGAGGGTTGACGATTCAGATTCATGAATGTGGCTCAGCGACGGGGAAAGTGACTAAGAGACAGACAGAAACTGTTTCTGACAAGTTGACGCCTTTGAGGAATGTTGGCCCGCGAGCTGGCTGGTGGGTAGTGTGTCCTCGACCTTTTGGATTTGGCTGTCGCCTCGACCGCAGATTCCCTCAGCCCCCATTTAAACACGCTTGTTCGACTTCACTCGCAAAAGGCTTTCCCATCTCTTGAAAATCCTGCTCTAACCAAAACAAACACACACCCGCACTGATGGATAATGACATTTTAAATAGACGATTGTTAACGCATGTGTCTCTTGATATCAGTGGAAAAGTCAGACAAACTTTAACAAAGTGATTAATTTCTTTGACAGTGTTTTCATGAAAGGAAAAGGAGTAAAACAGTCCTGAGGTAGAGAGCAAGTGACACCAGAGTCAGCTGAATTTAAATGACATTGATTAAACTTATTGATTGGTCAGAACTATGAGCTTACTGCACCTCTTGTGTTATCAATCAAAGGCTTTGATCTGCTCCCTCAGTCCTCTGTGTCTGAGCTGGAGTGTTGAGCAGCAGCTGTGAGAGTTCATGCTGTTCCCCTGAGAAAAGTCATTTATGAACTCATCCCCTATTACTGTTTAATAGTGTGTAAACAAGAGGGTGGTCAGAGAGAACATGGCAATGCATTAACCTCTTTCTGCCTCTGTTTGCCTCTTTCTCTCTCTGTCTCCTTCTGTCTGTCTTTCTGTTTATGTGTCTGCTGTTTGACTTCCTCTCTCTAACATTAAACCCTCTTTCCTTCTTGATTACTACTGCCACACATCTTACTGTTGTTTTCTTCTCTCCTGGGCTTCATACCTTACCACTCTCACTCTTATTCTTTCTTCTTCCCATGGCCTGTCTCACCCTCTCTTTCTCTCTCTGCCTCCCCTTTCTTCTAATCTTCATGCTCCAGGGTATCTACAGCTGCATCCATGGGGTACAAATTGAGGAAAACAAGTCAACTATAGACTCACCCTCGGCCACCATGAAGAAGAACATGAACTACACCCACTCCAACATCCTGCGGTTGCTCCGCACAGCCAAGGACATGACCGCCGTCCCGGGCGTTAACGGCTCTCCGCATGCTGCCCTGGAGTATAGCCACAGCGGCCGTGACTCGGCTATCTATGATATCCAGGAGCACCGGCGCAGCTTGGTGGGTCACCCTGTCGACTGCAAGTCAGCGCCGCCCTACCTGCCAGAGGACAACATGTTCAGTGACTACATCAGCGAGGTGGAGAGGACTTTTGGCAACTTGCCCCTGAAGGACAGCAACCTGTACCAGGACCATTACCTGCACCACCACCCGGCCTCGGCTCTGGGTATGTCCGGCCCCCCTCCGAATAGGCCGCGTAGCTTAGGCAGCGCTAGCTCGTTGGAGGGGGGCATGTTCGATTGCGACAGTTTGGGGGGAGGGGTAGCGCCCATCTTCACCACCCAGCCCCGCCCCTCCATGACTCACAGGAATACCAATAAGTTTGACCTGATTGCTGGCCACACCCCTGCGGATTCCAACCAGGGTGGGTTCAAGGGAAGCAATGTGTACGGCAGGTTTTCTTTCAAAGGAGGCGCCTCCAGCACGGGGCTCATCGGGGGTCATGACAGGTACTGTGGTGGGGGTGGGGCAGGCTCAGGGGGGGACGATGGGAACATTCGCTCTGATGTTTCGGATATCTCCACTCACACTGTCACCTACGGCAACCTGGAGGGCAACAACAAGCGGCGTAAGCAGTACAGGGACAGCCTGAAAAAGAGGCCAGCTTCGGCCAAGTGCAGACGGGAACAAGACGAGATAGAGCTGAGCGGCCTCAGGAGAAGAGCCCACCACCACACCGTCCACCACCACTTCCCCCACGGGCCCCTGGCACACCGCACGGTCTCACCTCCCCTGGAGCGGAAGAGGGGAGGAGGAGGGGGTAATTCTTCACCTTACTTATTCCGCAAAGATAAAGAGAATCTGAGGGATTTCTATGCGGACCAGTTCCGCTCCAAGGAGGGCAAGGCCAAGTGGGAGCAAGAGGGTGGAAGTGGAGGAAGCGGTGTAGGCGGTGGTAGCGGTGGTGGTATCTGTAAAAGCTTAGTACCTGTAGAAGACTTCCTCAAAGGTAAAGGCAAGAAGCCGGAGTGTAAAGGTGGGCTTGGCTCAGTGTCGGCAGGACAGCAGGCCCACACCTGCTGGGAGAAGGGGGTTTCTGGGCTAGGAGGGGGAGGCATAGCAGGGGGTGATTGGGAGTGTCGTAACTGTCACAATGTGTGTCACCACGGTGGAGGCGTAGGAGGAGGCGGCACGTGCCAGGCTAGCGGGGTTGGGGGAACCACCAGTCGCCCCAGCTCTGCTAGCTGCAAGCGCTGTGACTCCTGTAAGATGCAGCCAAGTAACCTGTACAACATCAGCGAGGATAATAACATGGTGTTTGCTGGAGTGAAGAGTAGCGTAGGACCCAGCCAACCACAAACTCAGGCACAGCGCAGGAAGCTAGGGCCGGGTGGGAGGGTGTTAAGGAGGCAACACTCATATGACACATTTGTGGACCTGCAGAGGGAGGGAGCAGGCCGCATGGGAGGGATTGGAGGGGGTGTTGGGGGGCAGTTTGCCCAACCCCGGAGTGTGAGCTTGAAAGACAAAGATCGCTTCATGGAGGGCCCCAGCCCCTACGCTCACATGTTTGAGAGGTATTCAAGTGACAGGGAGCCCTCCATGTTTGGAGGAATAGGCGGGGATAGGGCAAAAGGAGGCTCCTCCTTCAGTTTGTTCCGAGGAGGCGAAGGTGGGTTGCATCAGCGGTCGGTGGGGGAGAGAGACCTGAGGGACAGAGATAGAGCTATGATGGGAGGTGGGGGCTGTGGTGGTGGTGGTGGTAGTGGTGGTAGCAGAGGGGCCGGGACTTACTCCTTGTCTAAATCTCTCTACCCAGATAAGGTGAACCAGAACCCCTTCATCCCAACCTTCGGCGACGACCAGTGTCTTTTACACGGCGCCAAACCGTACTACATCAAAAAGCCACAGACGCAGCAACAGCAGCAGCAGCAGCAACTTCTCAACAACAGCCGAGGAGGAGGGGACTTCCGCGGCTCCATCGGAGCGACTTCCTATTTGCCCGCATCAGCCACAGCTGGGGTGATGTCCACTGTGGCCCCCAGGTTCCCCAAAGAGCTGTGTCTGGGCGGGGTGGGAGGGCCCATGGGCAACCACCACGGGGCCAACAAGCTACTGCCTGGGGGCAGAGACACATTAGGTTTGGGGCAGGGACAGAGACCCTTCAACGGTGCCAGCAATGGACACGTTTATGAAAAGCTCTCCAGCATTGAGTCAGACGTCTGAGGGTGAAGACGGGGTAAGAAAGAGAGGGAGAAGATGAAGTGGGTGAAGAAAAGAGGGAGGGAAACATACAGATGCTGATGACCTCTCTGTGTGAAGAGAATGAGGAGACACAATACTGTGTGTGTTGTTCTCACTCCACTCAATGGGAAGAATTTGGACGATGCGCAGAGGCCACTGCAGGCTAAGTTGTGAAATCCGGCGGGAGACAAGTTTTTAATGAGAAGAGAAGATTCTGGTGCTGCTCCAACGCTCAGAGAAAGATAGGGATGGAGGGAGGGAGGGAGGGAGGGAGGGATGGGGGGAAAGTGAAATAAAATCTCCAGTCTCTGCTCTCTTCACATGCTCATTGTCTTTCCCTCCCTCCTGCAGTTCCTTAACACCAAAACAAACATTTTGTTTAACAACGGAAATACAATCATGAATGAGAAATCAACACTTCTGTTGAAGTAACAGGGTAAACTAATAATAATTGTATTGATAATGTTAATATTATTGAATATTATTCCAGTGTTTAATGATGATCGGTTTGGATTGTTTTTTTCCATTTTATTGATTTAAATAGTTCATGTTACATATTTGTATGATGTTAATTCTTTCTTAGCTTACCAATATTACAGGAGACTGGTAGGCCAGTCGCCAAATCTTTTTTGGGTTCCTGTAATTTGGACTCTTCTTTGCTATTAATTCTTCATGTTTGATTTTTTTTTTAACTTTTCTTACTCTTGAGTGCTGTGAAGTGTATGTGAAAGGCATGACTTGCTGAGTACATTCTATGTACTTATAAATTTGCGAAGAAGGTCTTTTTTTTCAGCTGCAGAAGCAACATCATCATACTGATTTGCCGTTTCCTCTCCTTTTTTCTGCTCGGCAGTACCAAATGGGTCTTACATTTTGAGCTGGATGTGCCTTAAAGGATTATTACTGATTTTCTACACACAAGATCTGTTCTGATGGCAGACAGATCCACCTGCAAACAAACAGTCTAATTGATTTGAGAGTGAAATGCACCAGAAACAGTCTGATATGAGGGTGGAGTTTCATGAGCGTAACAGACTTTAGGAATTTATCAGATGTTATATCACAAAAAGAAATTTGCTGCTGTGGAGGAAGCTTAAATTCCTACATAGATCCCTAACAATAAAAGAAACCGATACCAGGATTAAAAGGGTTAAAACCATAGTGCCATGATAAACAAACATTCCTGTCCCCCACCCCTCAAAAGTCAGCTACGACAGAGCTGTGCCGCTGCATGTGAAGGAATACCAGTTAGGAATAAAATACATGAGCTGCTTCTTCTACTATTAACTCCACAATTAATCTAACTGCTGGTCCTTGAAATCATTTAGCTCAACAAGCTTTATCATTCCTCACCTCCTCAAACCTCACTGTTCATAACAGATGACCAAGGAATCAACTACCCATTAAATACATGTAAATCACATTTAATGTTGCCTGTTGCTCTCATCCAGTTTCATTGGGTCCGGCTCAATTGGCCATGACAGTTTTGCTGTTCAGGACAGGCACGTAATGGACCCACAGAGTGAGGCCTCTGTTGCTGGGATGAGCAGTAATAACGTTAATTATTGAATGAGTACGGCTATAAGCCCTGCCTGCTGTATTAGATGGTCACATTTGAATGATGGGAGGAGAACAAGTGTTGAAAATTTACACTCTGCTGGTGTAAAGTACCACAGCAAGCTCTAGTACATAGTCCCACATAAAATAAAAGCTACATCATACAGCATTTCGCTTGGATTTTTTGTCCTAGAAAAACATTAGCATTTTAAGCTTAGAAAAGGAGTAAACCAACCCAATCCCCAGAATAAATGTTGGCATTGTACATTCCTGCAAACCACAGATACAATACATTTGTGCATTATGATGTAGTAGATATGTTGAAACTACATGTTTAAATACACTGTGGTTAATGTGTGGTTAGGTTTAGGTACTGAAACCACTTGGTTATGGATAGGACAAGATTATGTTTTGACTTAAAATGCCCAGTTTTGGGGCCACAATCAAGGCTAGAAAGGCAGTACAAAAGTAGTAAAGTACAACCACGTTTGTTGGCTAAAAAGCCACAGGAAACGCTGCAGTGACTTGCTAAAAAAAAACCCATATCCTCATACAACGGTTCATATGATATCTTATAAATTAGCGGCCTATATATGATGTCATGTACTTAACCTATTGCAGAGGTTAGATTTAGGCAAATAAAGTTACTGTGGTTAGGTTTAGGAAAAGAAACATGGTAAGGCTGTACCTTAAAATGACACAAGGTTCACATGGATCCAAACACAGGTCTCCTGGGGAAAGTACCAGTGGAAGATCTTCTGTTTTACGGCCCATTCAGTGCCCCAACCTGCCTCCTACCTGGGCCGCTCAGGACTGATTCCTTCTTACAACACTCAGCACACCGGTCACGTGATCGCAGCCTTCCAAAATATGAGTGTTATGCACAAATTACAGGCTCGTCATGACATGGGATATGTGCGAATTTTGGTGCATTACTTTTCATAGGAAGACATAAAAACAATATATGAAAACAGCAGGAAACAACTGGTTTTGTTGTTTGCTGGTCTCGAACAGTTGTCTGTGGTGGTCTGCAGCAGCCGTCTCGCCTAGGAATAAAGCCGTCCACCATCCACTCCACCTCCTGATGACAAAGTCAGCTCATGAACTACGTCACTTTAGAAACGTTGATATGATATGTATGGAATGTACAAAATGTAAAGTCTTTGTGGTTTGCAGAAGTGTACAAAGCCGACTTTTCTTTTGGTGACTGGGCTGAGTAAATAGTACAGTGGGTACTCACTTTTTGGGATGTACACATTTGCTTCTTGCTGAGCATTAGATGAGGAGATACCACTCTCATATCAGCCCCCAGCAAGTTAGCTTAGCTTAGCATAAAGCCTGAAAACAGATGGAAACAGCAAGCCTTCTCCATCCAAAGGTAACAAAATACACCTACCAGCTCATGCAATGCTCACTAATTAACACATTATATATTGTTTGTGTAATACATACAAAAACTGAAGTGTAAAATTGACATGTAGGAGGCTTATTTACAAGATATTTTCTTGTAGTAGGCCTAACGTTAATGTTGCCATGCAACCAGTCAGCCAAGAAATAGTTTATAAAACCACAACTTGTCACTCTTACACTTTTTTATATTAAACAAGCAAGAAATAACATGTTAGTGAGCTTTAGAGGAGCTGGTAGGCAGATCTTTGGACAGAGCTAAGCTAGCTGTCTCCCCATTTTTGGTGTTTATGCTAAGCTAAACTAACTGGTCACTGGCTCTGGCTTCGTATTTAACATACAGGGATAAGAGTAGTTTTCATCTTCTTCTCTCAGCAAGAAAAAGTATATTTCCCAAAATGTTGAACTATTCTTTTAAGCTATCGTCTTACAGTCCAAACAAGAGAACCTGCCTCTACTCAGTCGTCATTTCTGCTCAAACTCATTTTTCACCAAACAGAACAGAAAGAAGAATTTCAGTATGCACTGTAACCTTGATTTCTCCCCCTGCCAGACCTTAATCTGTTTCACATGCTGAGATTTTGATGGAGGAAAGAATTTGCCCTCAAGTCCTCCAAGATCCTGTGTGGATTGTGTCATCTGCAGACATTTAAGGAGAAAAAGAAGAGAGGAAGGCAGGAGGAAGTAAACAGCCTTCTAAAAGCAGGTGGTACATTTAGTTAAAAGCATTGACGTTATTCTGAACAAAAGGTGACTCCCAAATCCACAGCATTGGACACACAGGTCATATCTGCTCTAACACTTCACAAAGACAAAACTAGAAGTTGTGTTTTATTCATTGACAGCCTTCTCTACCATTAAAAGCCTATCGGTCACAATTTAAGACAACTATTCTCCATTTCCAGTTATTTATTCTTACCTAAACCTGACTTTGAGTCATTTTGCCAAACCAAATTTTGAAACCTAAGCACAATCTGACTGAATGGGTCTAAGATTTTGTTTGTACATCCCAGTCAAAACTTCAGAAGACTTTTCCTTCTCTTGGTTGACAAGTCAGTATGTATGATACTAGGGGGTCTCTAGTGTTTGTAAGGACTTGCATGTATACACTTTTCTTTATTTCTGTTTTTAAATCTTAACTTTTAGCCCAGGAAACAAATGGGTGTTTTTGAACAGTATTTGGAATTTTTATCAATTTCATTGGTACTGATGATCCATGTAGTACTGTAGGTGTGTGTGTGTGCGTGTGCTTGTTTGTGCAAGAGAAGACACCAATCTTAACTAAAATTTTGAATATACTTTGATAAATATGGCGAAATTGATTCAAGATTTCACTAGGATAGAAAACATTTCTTTTTATTAATGATCAGTTTTCTTGATAGTTTGTGTAAATGCTTTTAAACAAGGTTGAGGTCTTGATTAATACATTCATCGTCACTGAAGAAGCCTTTTTTTCATTTCAACTACTTTTCCTCTTATTTTCCTTTTGAATATCTGGTTTCATTACTTCTGTTATTGTATGTGCCTGAATACATACGCTTGATTACCTCTGTGTGTGCTCATATGGGAGAGAGACAGAGTGTGTATGAGAGATAATTGTCTATTGTACATGTACTATAAAGCTGTATGTAAATACTTTACCTCACGCTCATGGACTTTTGATAAAAAACTGTACAAAAACGGCAGAGAATAGATCTATTTGGGATAAATCTTTGATTCGTAGGTCCCCTTGCAAAATTGCTTTTGTAATGACTTCAGGCCAGGTTATGTGCAATCGTTTATTATCACACAGATAGTGTGCACATTTAATGAGTCACGGTTTGTCGATGTGTTTTTATTTTCTGTTTGATTTGGTCCAAAACCAGCTAAGAGGGTTGTTTTCTCAAAACACCATCATTAATCGGTACACAGAAAGCACAATAGATCATATGTTGCATTTTTACAGAGGTAGTCTCTTTTCTCTCCTTTTCGATTAATCTTCTGTTTTTTGTGTTTTTTCGCCACAGAAGAAATCAAACGACTCCACCCCTGAGCTGTACAGATTGTGAAAAATGTACATACGACACAAATCTAGTTCACCCTCGCATTTTTTGTATGGAGAGAAATTACTTGTGTGAAGAGAGTATTTCAAATTTGATTGACTATTTAGTAATATTGAAGATGAGATTAAACACAGTCAATGTGAAAATAAGTGCTGAGAAATATTATTCTTCTGTCTCTTTGGAATAAAAGTGTTGAGTATTAATAAAAAATGAGAAATCTCAAACTAACTTGTCTTGTTCTTTTTTTATTTTATGGTTGCGTCCGCAGGTCAGCAGCAAGCAACAGCTCCTCACACTTGTACACGTGTGTCCTATTTATATTTGACATTCAAACGTACTGTGTACATATTGTAACAGATTATATCATTATGTTTGTGTTGTAGGTCGTCAGTGGATCTGAGATAATGGCCGCAGCTGAGTGTCATCTTGTGTCCTTTCACTGCATCTTCGCTTTGTGTGTCATAAACAGGGCTCTTATCATGTGAGATCGATGTTACTCATGTTGGACAAGTGTTTTTATACACCAAAGAGAAAACAGATGAAGAGGTTTGAAGTGTAAAAAAGGTGGAGCAAGAGGCAGGGGAGGAAAAAAAGAGAGAAAGACAGGGAAGGTAGAAGTGATGCAAACTGAACCGAGCAGCCGAGATCAAAGCCCCCCAAAAACCTCCCTCCCCCTCACTCCTCACACTCTCTTTACTCTGAAAGCCTTGTCCAGCAACAGGAGTTATTTAAAGAAACCTGCAGGTTTGAAAATGTACTGATGCCTTGTGTGTATAGATTTGGTGGGAGAATTTTAACATCGATGGTGTTGGATGCTGACACAGAAGGAGGTGAGGCGGTTGAAATAATCTTTTAATCAGTTTTTATCTCCTGCTTCTGAGGAGAAAAAAAATCTTTACTATTTTCTCTCTGTTCTTGCTCATTTGTTCACTCCTCACACCAAACCAACAACCTCAGGATGCATTGCAACACATGTAACTACTTCTTGACAATTAACTGTTACCTAGCAACTGGCTCTTTTTCCAGGGATGGGGAGGGGGGGTGTAGAAAGTGAGACAGGGAGAGAGAGAGGGAGAGAGAGAGAGAGAGAGAGAGAGATTTACACAGTATTCCCACAGCATCTTAACTGGATTGGATGCAACAATGCATTGACAATACAATACCAAAATGGAAAGTACAGCCTGAGCTTAACACCCACACATAGCAGTGTAGAGAGGAGAGAAGAAGAAGGAGGAGTAGGAGGAGGAGGAAGAAGAGGAGGGGTGCTTGATGTACAGATTACAGTTTGAAGAAAAAAAGGGGATGAAACCCATGCAGAAGGAAACAAAAGAGGAACTGACAAGTGGCGAGTGTGCAGACGCTGGTTGGAAAAGAGAGAAAGTGAGAGAAAAGAGAAGGAACACGCTGCAGAGTGTGGCGTGGATGACAAGTGGAGTTGTAGAAGAAGAGGAGAGAAACTGGTTGCTGTAGAAACACTTGGCAAAGTTTTAATGAAGGCATAAAGTTTGATGCCTGTGCCCACAACACACACACAGACGCACACACACACACACATAGCAGATCACCATATGCAAACAGTATAATTATGTTAGCAGATAATAGGCACCCCCTGCTGGGCCCATGAGGACCGTGCCTGACTTCAGCTGAGCAAAAAAACAAAAGATCAAGCTTCCATGAATCAGTTGTAATGTCACATGTGGTTACGGCAGCAGGAGAGCACTGACACCATGTGGTAACAACATGGCATCCTCCGGTTACTGTGTGTAGTTTAGGTACATTTCATGTGTGACTGGAGGTAAGGCAGGTGTAAAGAAACAAAACACAGTGGTGACAGATGCTACTGAAAAGACACATGGAAGTTTTTGGTGTAAAACTAGAATACATTTGGGGGTGGGGGGTTGCAGTTTTGTTTTTTATTTTTCTAAATATATGTTTATAAAGGACTCCTCTATCAATTTAATATTCGACTTCCACTGAGTTTGGGGGACTCACAAGAATCAGATTTGAAAAAGAAAAGGAAAGAAAGAAATGAAGCAGTAGAGATATCCTGACACTCGGTGGTGTGATTGAAGCTTCAAAAACACTGGATCCTACATTTCCCACAATGCAGTTCAATATCTTCCTCTTTTACTGGTAAATGGCCACATCTTTCAAACTCTGTAAATGCCTTTTTTAAATATATATATACTTTTGAATATGCAACTGTTTTATAGGGCTGAGTGGGTCCTCATCAGTTAAAAAAACTTCACGAAAAAAAAGTTATTAACCCTTTTAAGTTGGAGTCCACTATACATGCCTTTAGCTTAGTGGTCAATATTTAGTAAATTAATAACACATGAAAATAAATAATCATATTAATAAGAACATTACCATAAAATTGAGAAAAAAATATATATACTACTTGGTGTGGTGGAGGGTAAACGAGGTATACCCACCTCTTTTCTGACTGTTAGAATACCCACCTATCAGCCAAAAAGCCATTGGAATATATAGTAGAGTAAACCCACTTCCTCCATAACCTACCCATCTGCGTAGTAGGTACACCCACCTCATCAACTACCACTGCACTACTGAATATTCTCTTCTCTTCTCTTAAAATCATCCCGTTCTTTGCTGCTTATTCTTGCAACATATTTTCTTTATTTAACATGGCCACTATCCCAAATGACCAGATAATAATAATAAAAATTTGATGAAGCCAGTTTTCACCAAAGTCTCGTGCAGCCATGTGATTGTTTTTTTCCAGCAGTTAAATATTACTTAAATTAACACAGAATACTCATTTGTTTATGTACCAATACATGAAAAGTAAAAAAGTGAGCCACTCACTGTTTCCAATGTCAAGAATAAACCTTTAAAAATACACATTTAAAGGATGCTATACAAATAGCTAATAATAGTAATAATAATATAGATGTATAGTGTTGGAAGGATGTCTGTGTTTCTGAATGTGTCTGAACTCACCTGACATTAAGAGCTGGACAATAAAATAATAATAATAGGCTAATAATCATTAAAAGTATTTATTAAAGATATGATTTATTTATCTGCTAATACAAACAATAATCATAATCTCTGATCTCACAGAACAGTGTCTGTGTTTCATTGTCATATATGTCTTTATGTTATTTTATCAAAATGAAATCCTAACACATAAAAATGCATTTCTTACATCATATAAGCCTGATAGATTCAGAAGCTCTCTGTGTGTCACACACCGACACCAGCCTCCCTCCATCACTGTATCTATCTCTCTCTCTGCACCAGCTTCACTCCTGCTCCGTTGTTCAGGACCCTCACCCGTCTCCTCCTCACCACCCGGCTCCCCCTCGGTGGGCTCGCCCTGGCCGAGGTCCTCGGGGTGTACCGGGCCAAGCTCGCCACCTCTCCTCTCAGGCTTGAAGGTGCCAGAGCCTCCCCCTCCTCCACCTCCCGGTAGCCGTGGTGACGGAGGAACGGTTCCAGGGTTGCTAGGCGATGAGAGAGTTCGGTGATGCGCCTGCGCAGCAGGGAGACTTCTCTGAACAGATCGTTGACGGACTCGGATAGAGGGCGCACCCTGCAGGACAAACAGAGGAGGCTCAGCTTCACAGATCACATCATACTGTAGAATATATAAGACTATATATATTATAAATTACATAAATATCTTTACAGCTGGGAAGAGCAGTATGTTGTGATAGGGTAACTGATTATAACTTGTTTACAATAATTATTGCTTTACAGTGTGCTCATGTGCTCTAACTGCACCCTCATGCACTATAATATTCTTTAATATCGCTTTATATCATTAGACTGGCTGCAGAATGAGTTAATGACGTTACAAGGGAGTTTTGAAAAACAAAATAATTTGAAATCTTCTATTATTTCATTTGCTTAACCGTCATATCTTCTGTAGTTGGGACTGTCTCACCACATGGTCCATTTATGTGATCATATCACATCACCTTCATCAGCAGAGGGCGTTTGCACAGTTGTCAATGTCCAAATTTTTAGACCAATTTCATGGAGTTCTTGTTACCTTTAAAGCTTACATTTCAAAATACAGGCTAAAATTTCATGATAACATGGTAAAATGTCTGCTAGACTATGTGATACGATGATGTACTTTATGATGTTTTGCAAAGTACTGTTTCCAGGGTCAAGAAGGAACTTTTATCTTGTGGAGATCCAATTCACACAAAAGCTGAGGTTCAAAGACTTCTTCAGCCAGGAATACAATCCTGATGGACAAACATTTTTATTTACAGTTTAATTCTAAACATGTTAAGTCCAAAAATAAAATAAAAATGATTAGAATGAACCAGTAACAACCTATTATGTGTAATTTGTGTGTAATTGTTGGTAACTGTAAACTCCTCCTCAGGTCATGAAAGTTTGTGTTTTTATGAGTGTAAGTAAATTGTGTCCATGTTTGCATCTTGCCTCAAATTGTCCCATGAGGGAGAATTAAATAGCATATTTGAACTAAATTCATATAAATGTAATTGACTGAAATACTGAGAACATTCCCTGCTACTCTCATGCGTTTATCAAGCAATAACCTGCAGGTCTGAGATGAAGGAACTTGAGGGGTGTGTGTTTGAGTGTGCCTCAAGACAAGTGCTAAAACTGCAGTTCCTCTAACGGCCACTAGAGACTGTTTCCGAAACGAGTCAATCCTTATAGACCCCCATGTTAATATGTCCAACCTTACAGCAGAAATAAACATGTTTACAGCCCGATACAAAGGACAGTTTTGGTCTCCATAAATACTTCACCCATTTATATGACAGCTGGACGGTGAGTGAATTTTTATATAACTCACCTGTTCAAATGTTCTAAAGGCTTGAAGTTGTGCATAATTGTGGCCGTGACCGCTATGAGTGACAGGTGGGTGCCGTCCATTGACAAGTCGCTACCACCGTGATGATGTTGGTTACACAAGCTGTTGCTGTTTCAGTGCGTTTTCAGTTCATGAAAGTCTATTGTAACTTTTTGGTTGCCTAAAAAGTCTTGTTGGTATTTGCTTGTACTAAAGACCCTCTTAGGAGTCGAATGTTCATCTTTTCTGGTAAGTAGGCTACAGTTTCTCGCTAGCTAACAAAAACGTAGCTGTAAATGCACTGTGCTAACCAAGCTAGCAGCTAGCGTAAGGGTTATCACTTGTCTTAATATGGTCAGAGGCATAGACATATATACATAGACGCCGCATTGACTGCCGCTGCCTATTTGAGCCGACGTCCTCGCCTGCCGCCATCTTGGACGGGTCTCGCTTCGCCTCCACATTGCATTCACTTCTATTGAGGAAGGAGCTGTATGCACAAGTAAAATAGTATAACTCACTGAATTTTTAACTGATTTTCACGCGGTTTGGTTTGTTACAAACGGCACACATGTAGTTATGATACAGGATGCTTTCGTACATTAAAAATGCGGGATTTCATGCTTTAATACTTTCTGCAGATAGCAACAGCATGTTATTTAGGTCACAACACAGTTATTTTTTTCACCTCAACCCCAGAGTGGGATATATATATATATCATAGAC